TCATTGTAAAGGTAATCCATTTTCGAACATTTTGGTATATAACACTATGTCATGAAATCAATATTAAAGTTTTATTATGCTTATTTTGGGAGGCTGTGTCAGTATTTAAGGTATCCAGATTTTAGGGAGAAAATAGTAAATCTGCGGAATAATGTTAATTTTTTATTTATAGAATGTCATTTTGTTAGGTGAATACATGCTTGTATATTTGCATATTGTGTGACTAAACTTATTGTTTATGAATTTTAGTGTTGTTTATTGTCAATAAGTACTCAAAGGGGGTCTGTTAAAAGACATTAAATGTATATGTGACGAGAATTTTATTTTCCAACAAGACATTGCCTGGTATCATAGATCAAAGGAGACATTGGCATTTCTTTGCAAACAATGTGTCAATTTGATTGATCCTGATGCTTGGCCACCCAACAGACCCAATGCTAATGTGTTAGATTACCATACTGTACATGGAGCCATCTCGAGGAAATGGTACAATCAAAAGCATCCAATAAACAGCATTGATGAGCTGAAACAGAATCCTAAAGTGCTGAAATGAATTGCAACAGAAACCTCTCAATAAGGCTATTGATAGATTGCGCGACCACTTGGAGGTTATTGTTGATGCAGAGGGGAGGGGTGGGGGTATATTGAGCAATTGTTAAAATAAATAAAGTGTAAAATGTTATTAAACAACACTAAAATCCATAAACAATAAATTTAGTCACACAATGATGCAAATATCAATATCCAAGCATGTATTCACCTAACAAAAGAATGATATTCTATAAATAAAAAATTAACATAATTCCGCAGATTTACTATTTTCTCCCATAAATCTGGAGACCTTAAATAGTAACCCGGCCTCCCAAATAAGTATAATAAAACTTTACTATTGATTTCATGACATAGTGTTATATACCAAATTGTTTGAAATTGTATTACCTTTAAAATGATATGTAAGTCAATGTACCATATTGAATGTAACTATTTTTATCCTGATTTGAAGTTGGGTATTGGTTTTTTTTGGCCCACCCTGTAGACATTGTGATACTGACTTAGTCCCATATTTTTCTTTCGTTGAATAAGGCCATAATTATGCAGAAAATGTTAAATGTAATTTTTCAATGATAGTCATTATCCTTCTTAATCTGAAGGGGTCTCACAGGAAATGTTTACTAAAGTGTGTTAAGCCAAGACATATTATCACAGGGGTTGTACCAATTACACCTAGTTGTTGAATCTGTGGGGTATTTAAAGAATATTACAACTATCAAGCTCAAAGAGGTAAAATGAAAATTATCTTATATTACATTTTGTAATGTACATGTAATGTAATATTCCCTGAAATTGGTAAATAGCCATTCCAATTGTATAATTTTGTTTGTGATCAAAATCAATTATATTATTAAATATTGATGTTAAAGTTGCAACAGAAACGGGTTGAAAGTCAATTTCAAGAAATGGTCAAAGTTTTACAATGCATTTTGCTCACATCACCCATGTCTTGCCTGTTTTTAAAAAGCAAATGGTTCTGACTTTATTTAGTTAGCATCTTAGATTTTGTGATAATTTCTAGAGGATGTGATCATACTTATGTCATCATCAGAATTGGTGATGATGAATTGTGTAAGTCTCAAACTTTTTGTGGTGACGAAAGGTGTTTGTTGGTTGGTGCTCAATGTTTTGTGTGGGCGTTCAGCATGTGTAACAAATGTCAAGTGGTAATTATTTGCATGTTAATGCCTTGTTTGTATATTAGTATCTGCTTCCAGCTCAAGCTAAATATTATACTGTAAAACCTATGTACATGTATATTTAATGTTTTTTTTAAGTCAGTATAGTCTATATGGAGGAAGAATATCTCCTCGAGACAGGTGTTTACTAGAGATAGGTGTTCACTTAGACAGGTTTTACTGTATTGCCATCTATTTATCATCCTTCATATTAATATTGCAAATGGTTTATAAATCAAATACTAATCAACAGATTTTTTTTCTTATAATTAATAGAAAGATATATATCGGTAAAAATTCAAGATGGCCACCTCTTTAAAACTTCCTCTCTGACTTTAGATTTGAGATTTCACCTTCAATGATCTTCTAAGGGTCAAAAAACTTGTTTCAAATCGACCTTTTTTTCAAAATCATCTACAGAGGTCTCAGAAATTCAAACGTGACTTAAGTTTGAACTAATCATATTGTTAGCAACTAGGTGGTGACATTTTGTCATGTTAATGCCTTGTTCAGAAATTGCATGGGTTTCAATAGTATTTTCACAGGTAGTGCACCGATCAATTAAAACAATCAATCCTAAAATGGCATATATGTATCCCAAGGACGAAGTTCAGTAGGGATATAGTGAAGCCCTCCATCTGTCCATTAATCAGTCCATCAGTCTGTCCTTCCGGAAGATAAATCAAATACTAATCGACAGCGAGGGGCCGTGAGTTTGATCCCCACTGGGGTGGACTGACTTTTTCACATCAGCCCTTAGCACAGGATTTCATTCTGTGTTTTCATTAACTTTTTCATATATTTAATAGAAAGATGGATATTTGAAAAAATTCAAGATGGCCACCTCTTTAAAAATGGTAGGAATTTCCATTAAAATCATTACTTTTTTATTTTTTTTAAACCAAAGAAATAAATACTATTGTTTGAATTTTGGTAGTATATTCACAAAATTCAACTCTCATATATATATTGTGAACACCCCTTTTGAGCATATATACATGTACCATTTATTTCTGTATAAAAGTGAACACCTACCTAAAGTGAACACATTTCCCATGGCTCTATAGGTGTTCACTGTACACAGGTTTTAATATATACCATTTTAAAGAAAAACAGCAAAAGTACCCATGAAAAATCTATTTATTTAAAAAAAGTTATTGCCAAATAAAAATATGGATATATTTTGGCCCATCCTATTGATTTATAAGCCATTTTAAAGAAAAATTGCAAAAGTACCCATAAAATCTATTTATTTAAAAAAAGTTTTTGCCAAATAAAGATATTTTTGGGCCCATCCTGTTGATTTATAAGCTATTGTATAAGACTGCATTCATTAACATATTCATTAAAGTAGCATTTTCTTCTGATCAAACTTCCTTTTCTGATTGATATTTAGGATGATTATTAAGAACATTAAGGTGAAATAAGGAGTAACCCGACACAACTTCTTAACCGAGTAAATGATAAAAAAGTAGCTGAATTAAATGTGGTGTCGTCTATGCATCATTTGCCTATGCTTGTTTGATTATTTATTGAGCTTTTTCATTGATTTTGGTATTATATTTGCATCGTTAACATTATTGCGATGGAATTGTGGTTGTGATGCTCATCAATCTGGAGCTTCCTGCCTCTTCATGCAAATGACTGTCTGACAAACTCACGCATTCAAATTACTTTCTGACTAAGTTGATCTCGGAGTCTGCACTCTCCTAAATAGTCTGTGGAAGGCTGTTGGCAAATTTCTTAATTAAAGTAGGCTAAATGATGATATTATTTTACCATTTTCTTTTCGAAGGTTGTGAACCCAGGCCCATTCCTAGCTTTTGCTTTTTTCAAAAAATTCCAAGGAGTTCATTTTGACAACTTTGGCCCAAAATCACTTAAAAAATGTACAGAATGATGAAAAACTGCATGATTTTCGGGGTTGTGTCCAATTATCCACAGTCTTGAAAATAATTAAATTAATTTTGTTATGATTTACCCCTCCCCCAACCCTGTAATGAAACTGTAATGAAACTTGAAATGCTGATTTGCTGTTCATTTGATTGCATTTATTTATAATAAATAATGAGCAAGGCAAGATTGTTCCTGTGTTTGGGTGATATGGCTACCAATAAAGGGATTTGGCTTAAATTTTATAGGTTAAAGCTGGACTTTGCCCCGAAACGCAATCTTGGGTTGTTTCGGGGTTGAACTTTATCATTTTGAGCTTAATGAAAGATTATAGAATGATGAACAAATGGGGCAAATCTTGTGTAGAAATACTTACGATAAATGTGTCATTTCAAAGATTTTTCATTGAATTGCTTCGATCGGAGCCGGCGATATGATTTTGTAAAGGTTTCTAAATGAAGAACGTGACGTCACTTCCGAATCATAGCATTCAAAATAAGTAGCGTTTAATTACCCTCACTATACATAATATCACAGTGGTCTAGCGGTAGAATGCTCGCTCAGCACGCGGGAGGCCCGGGTTCGAATCACGCGTTCGCCTTTTTATTTTTTTTAACTAAATGATTGTTCTTTGATATTACGCAGAAAAAAACAAGTTTTAATTACATAAACTTTATATTAGAGCTTGAAAATGTAAAAACAATATATGTCAACATATTGCGTTTTGGAGCGATGTGCAGGTTTAATGTTTTGGCCAAAATTTATGGTCATTATTTCTATCATGTAAATGAGTGATATCGGTATGGTGAACTTTTTGAACACGTGTTTCTCTTACACCAGTCTTCAAAACATTCTGAAAATTTTACACATCATCAATTTAATGGTCATCTTTTGGATGGTAACAATAATTTGAAATATACATAGTATATACATAGTATATGTATTTATACATGTATATATCCTTTTCTCTATATTGTTTTAGAAAACACATCAGACACTTCTTTTGTTCTTGGTATCATATGTTTGGAATGAAATGAAACATCTTTCCCAATCTCATTGGAACAAAACCACATAAACACAATGTGTGGACCGTGTTTTTATACAGAATGTTTTCAATAATTGGTTTAAGAGAAAAACATTGTTGAATTCAGGTCACCATATTGATACCTATCCTTTCTCACATGAAATGTTCAAAATTACAAGTGATTTGTATCACAATATGTTTTGTTAGGTGGGATTTGATTTGATGTCTTTCTAATTAATCAACCTCCACATCCTAATTTACCCTCATTTTATTTCACTGTACCTAATCTCATTTCAAGATTCTTGACCTGCATTTTCTAATAATCATGATTAATGAAAGATATTTTGTTTCAGATGAACCACCTGGAGCAAGGAAAGATTTACTTAGAAGTGGGGTAAGAACAACACTATCGTCATTATTATCCCACCGAATGAAGTTCGAGGAGGATATAGGAAAGTCATCTGTCCGTTCGTCCGTCCATCTGTCTGTTTGTCCGAGCGATAACTCAAATACTGGTTGACGTCTTTTTCAAATTTTATTGGCTTATGCCTTATGGCAATAGAACTTCTGCTCGAGAGGGAATTTTCAATATGGCTGCTCAATTCAAAATGGCCACCATTTTTTGTAAGAGCGCGTAATCTTTGATAACTCAAATACCAGTAAATGGATTTCGTTCAAATTTTATATGCTGATGCCTAGGGAGAAATGAGCTTTGTTCAAAAAGACATTTTCAAGATGGCGTCTAAATTTCAAAATGGCTGCCATTATTTGTAAAAGTGCATAATCTTTGATAACTCAAATACCAGTAGACAGATTTCATTCAAATATTATATGCTGATGCCTAGGGACAGCTGAATTTCAAAATGGTGCCAATTTTTTTTAAACTAATAATCTTTGATTAATCAAATACCAGTAGACTGATTTCGTTAGGACAAATGAGCTTTGCTCAAGAAGACATTTTCAAGATGGCTGCTAAATTTCAAAATGGCCACCATTTTTCGTGAAAAATGTAATCTTTGATAACTCAAATGCCAGTTGACAGAATTTTTTAAAATTTTATATACTGATGCCTAGGGACATAGGAGCTCTGCTCTATAAAGATTTTTAAAATGGCGGCTGAATTTCAAAATGGCCACCATTTTTCATAAGATTGAATCTTTTTACTAACTCGAATGACGGTGGACAGATTTGGTTGAAATATTATATGCTGATGCCTAGTGAGAAAGGAGCTCTGCTCAATGAGACATTTTCAAAAAGGCCACTTAATTTCAAGATGGCGGCCATTTTTTGTAGAAAATCATAATCTTTGATGATCAAATATCAGTAGACTGATTTGGTTCAAATTTTATACATTGATGCCTAGAGATAAAGGAACTTTTCTCAAGATAGCAGCTGCACGGTTGTTAAAACACGAATATACCATGAGCACATGCTTTGAGGATCCGCGTTGTTTGAACCTACCGCGGAGCACACTTATACATTAAGACCCATTACACAGTCATGATACTGCCGAGCAAGCTCATTGCATCATCGGGTCTGCTTTACCCCCGTGAGCTGAAATGGCCACCATTTTCCATAAAAAAATATGATCCTCAATAACTCAAATACCAGTAGACAGATTTGGTTCTAATTTCCTATGCTTATACCTAGGGACATGGAGAAATTTTCAAGATGGCTGCTATTTATCAAAACATGTTTTGTTCGGTGGGATTTGCTACTCCATGGAGTTGCTGTTTTCTATTATAATTGTACTAACCCCAAGGTTTAAAACATATGTATTTGTTCGAATAATTTTTGAAAACCTTCAATTAGTGTCATTCAACCTTTTCATGATTGGATCGAGGGATTATTCTGAAGACATTATGTCGTGGTAATACCTTGTTAATAGATGCCTGTTACCTGAAATGTTATACGTTGAGAATGCATTTAATTCATGGGTCAGATTACAATACAAACTCACATGTTTTAAACTTATGTGGGGCTTTTCGGTGTTAAGTTTTATAAATAAGTACAATACTGAAGTACAATACTTGATTAAATGTCAGAATTGCAAGATGACAGTAAATTGTATTGGTTATTTTGAAAGAGTTTAACCAATTAGAATTAAAAGTTGAAAAATGTTAAGAAAGGATTTCAGCAAATATTTTTGATGCACTTTTGGAACAAACTATCACAGCTACTCTTTGATTAAAAATATCAACTATATTCCCTTCTATTGTTTTGTGAAATTATGAATTAAAAAAATAATGTGTCTTCAGGTCTTGCAAAATGTAGTCTTTCTTCAATGCTTTGTGACCCCCCCCCCCACTGTCTGTGCAAGGCGCTGGGAATGAACTAGATCTTGGATAGGAGAAGATCTTGGATACAAGACTTATAAATAAACCCATCATAATTCTAAAATCTTATTATGTTTTTACAGTTAGACCAGTGGCTGTCCAGAGCAGAAGAGATTAAGAAATATCTTAAAGTGAGACAGCTTAGTACCCATAATGCAGCAGAACAACTAGAGCCTGCTGGGAGGTCATCCACAGGTAACTATGGCAGCATTATTCCTAAGCCATTGTACAATATGCCATCTATATACAAGTATTTCTGACACCCTTTGTAATCTTATTTTCTGAGGTCTAAGAGAAAAAAGATGGCACCCTGTTAATAATGGTTAAAGCCAATTTTTCCAAATATGTGTTGTATCTTAGGATACTTAAAATACACAAAAAGATGGCACACTCTACATAATGGTAACCAAATATTCCTAATGTGTTGCTTCTGAAATACAAAATGTAAGTGATCCTATCTGAGGGTCAATATCACAAGCCTGGGCCTAAGAGACCACATAGAGTATATCTAGAAAGATAAATTGCTGCACATACTCATTCTCCCATTGAATTTTGGAAAATCAATTGGAGTTTTTTTCTTTATGTTTGAATTTCTTTGCATAACCTGTCATGAAACAAACTGGAGTATGAATTGTCATGGTTTTTAATACCTTTATTTCTTTTCATTTTTTTTTATTCAGTAAAATTATATGTACAGTAGCTAGATGGTATACCGGTAGTTTATGGCATGGGTGGGTTATACCCTTCATCTTGGTTTTCCTAAAAATGCAGTTTACCCCCAAGATATTTAAAATAATGTGTATTTGATTTCAAAGAATAGACTTTGTTTGATGATCAAATTCAAAAATTAGGTAATGTATAAATACAAAATGTCCTTTTGAAGGTGCATGTAGAATCTCACTTTTTCACAATTATATATTGGCACTCTGTGACTAAATATCCATTGTATTATATTAATTAAATTACAATTTTTATCACACCATCGGTGGGATATAGTCGTCATACTGGTCGTGGTCGTGATCGTGATCGTCCCGCTTTTTGTCATCGCCGTTTAAGGAAAACTGCTCATCAGATTTTCTCCAAATTCGCAGAGATGATAGAGCATATGAAGTACTAGAGCTGATTAACTTTTGGGTGGCCATCTTGTTTTCTGGTGGCCATTTTGAAGGTTTTTCGAAAAATCTTGTCATCGCCATTTCAGGAAAACCGCTCATTGAATTTCCTTCAAATTTACACAAATGATAGAGGATATCAAGTACTAGAGCTGATTAACTTTGGGGCGGCCATCTTGTTTTCTGGCAGCCATTTTGAAGAGTCTTTCTACATCATCAATTGATATAAGAGATACCACCATCATCTTCCTCCAATGACGGCATAACTTTTCAATTCCAAACTCAGTGCATCTTCATTTGCCTGTATACACCTCATGCCTTCCATACTCCTAGAACCATATTTCATAATGAAATCAAATACAAATCAAATTCGTGCATATTTTGTAAATGTTCATATATTGTGTGTTGATTGAGGCTATACTATTTATTCTGTAGAATGTACAACTTGTTAAAGTTGAATAAGATGACTAAATCTATCCATAATATGATCTGCCTGTGAACTGAAAAGAACTCTGATGATAAAAATACTTACACTGACAAATACGGACATCTGACACATGAGGATTAAGTGATTTCATACCTGTCTCCTATTTCTACATGTATAATGTTTTTATTTAATAAGTTAAGGATTTCAAAATTATTTTATCTGGAAACCCAGCACTGGATGTGCAGATCTTGGTGGTAGTAGCAAATATTCAAAGCTTGACCCTTAAAGAGGGATGTGGTGAAAGGAAAGCATAATCAAGACCCCCTGGACTTTTTGCATGTTGAGCCGTATCACATATTCATCTTACTTACCAACGAAGAAGCCCCAAATCCGCTGCTTTATGCTAATTTTGCGATTGTCCTGACAGGTCAAATTATTTTTGTGGAAATTAATTATGTGAAACTTGGATAAACCGGGGAAATCCATATGTTATCTGATTGGTCGTTAAATTTGTTTATCAGTATGGTTATGTGACCAAACAAACTCCATAAATGACAGTTCAGAAAATTTCTAAAAGAAATTGACAACCGGCTTTGAATCTGATTGGTTGCCTGGCTCAAGCCACGTGCAGAGTTTGAAGACCATTATGTACTTGTGTCATTGGAAAGGGTTTTCTCTCAATTGCCATGATCAAACTCAATTTTGTTCAATTTTGACAGTTGGTTTTTCTGTTGATTTTCTCAATGTATCTGGAATTCTATACCCATAGGTTGGTCTCAAGATATATCTAAGGTATGTAAGATATTATATACTAGTAGTAAGCAATTATAATGGGATATCACTGATTGTCCAGGGGAGAAACCTAAGGCGTAATCTACCTTTAAAGTTGACATTTACCTCAGTACACCTAATCGTGGGTCTTCAAGGGCCACAGCATAGAAAAAGGGTCATATAAAGCCAAATACCTAGATATTGACTTTTGGAATGACCTTGACCTTTGAAGAATGCCCATTGACCTCTTAGTATGTTGACCAAGTATGAGGGCCCAAGGTCAAATGGTTAAGGAGGAGAGGGCCAGACAGACAGAAGGACAGAAAGACAGACAAACCACCTTGCTTTATAGTAAGAAGAAGAATCATATCAAAAAAAGGAATTTCTACAAAATAGAATGCTTACGACTTTCAGTAATTATTGTGCTTTCCATCATAAATCAACAAAATTAGGGATTAGGAAGGCGAGGTCATCTGCTTAAAGCTAATGAAGTAGAGAGAGAGAGAGATCTATTTCAGAAATAGGCAAACAAAAGATTGAGCAAGTTTTTCTACATGAATAATGTAGTCAGTTATACTCCATCAATTTTTTGCAATGGTCCCTAATCATACATAATTTTATACATATGAAATAATTCATTTGTATCTGTCATTTCTATCTGTCATTCTTATACCCATAGCAATACTCTGTTGCATCACAATAGAATAGAGACACAGAGAAGGTGTGGCTTATCACATCTGTTGAAGGGACATTCTTAGAGGAAACTGGTAGAATTCTACCCTTCAGATCAACTGCTTCCCTCACTCATCCAAGTTGGCTCATTAAAAATGTGACAAGTATAAAAATGTCAATACTTTTTATGATTTTGGCATTTGCCCTAGGATATACTTGATTTCTTGAAGAGCAAGCTATCTCGATTAATTTGACACCAGCAGATTCAAATCATGCCATGGTTGACTGCACAGGACATATTTTGTCAACTCATGAAATCTCACTTGCGCCAACTTCTCAGTGGTTGAACATTCCAATGTTGAAGATTCCAATGCTAGCAGATCGACATGTGTGGTGACAACAGGAAGGCATTCTTTCTCATAAGTGAAGGGCTGTGACAGAACTCTATGAATAACCCAATCGAGTGGCCATTTTGTACCTGTGATATTTTTATTGAGACACACTGTAATAACCTAGATGCGAGTAGAAATAATCTTGATTTACATCATTAAAAATTCACAATTCAGTCGAACTGGTGTCATATTTGGAATCTACATATAAAATTACATCCACAAATGTGGTTTTGAAAAGAGTTTATCAACTTTGAAAATTTAATTTTCTTTGAAAATGTGACTTCTAGGTTGGGGAGATTCCCCATAGACCCCATGTTGTAAAACTACAAAAAGTGAAATATCTTTTCTTGTGTTGGGCAGATAATATTTTCTTTTACTGGACATATTTTAATTTGTATAACTATCACATACATAAAGGCAATTTGAAAAGTGATCCATTAAAACTGATGCATATTCAAGTTTAAGGGAATTTTGTATTACCCTGCCATGTCATTTCCCCCGAATCAGCAAACTGGTGGCGAAACTGGTAACTACCTACTCGCATCTGAGTAATTATTATTATGGAATATTGTGTTGACTTAAGTTATGATGCATAAAAGTCATGGAGTTGTGTTATTGACGCAGTGAGAGCCTTGAATAATCATTTGGACACCAGTGTCAAGAAATTAATATCTTAATTACTTTATCTTGATTACTTACTCAAACTGCCACAGCTCACATATAAACAACTACTTTAGATGTTTGCAGAAGAAAATGTAAATATTATTTATATATAATCTAATTAATGACAATTCATATGGCCAACAGAAGATCCTGAAAGCTACATTTGAGGTCAGTGAAATCTTATGAGTATCAAAACCACAAAATCGCTTGTAATAGTCAGAGGGCAGCGTGCCAATATGAATTACATTCAGGGTAGTGTAATTGACCCATAGATGACACTGTGTATTGTTTGACATCAAATTGAAATAACTTCTTAATCAAGAAATAATTAATGGCATGTATACATAGTACGTATGTGACGTACATGTGACAATTGACATCCTGAAGTGTCATGGTTTCCAGTTTCATTGTAGGTGTCATGATATCCTAATCTACAGGAGATGGTATTGCTCAAGATATGTTTTTCTTATTGGACAGGAAAATAATTTTGCCGTGTGTTTTTTTACGGAATATAACTTTCTCACAGAAATCCACAGTTTGACAATATTTTCATAATTTTACAATATTCTTCCTCAAACAATGAAATTAGGATTGTCGGGGGAACATTTTGTACTTCTGAAACGAGTGCGCTTTACATTTTAAACTCTCTTCTCTTCTGCCATTTAACATTTATCTATTATTCATGAACAAGATTTTATCAAAATTGAGTATGGTAATTTTTTTGAGATTGTTCTAGTTTGATGTTTAACAATAGATATACAAGGAAAAAGAAAAAAACCAACTGCATATCTTGTCCTTGTAGAATGAATAATGTCATCAGCTGGCATGTCATCAACATTTTAAATAGCAAAAATTGAATGTTAGAAAACGAAGAGTTCATTTAGATTATAGAAATTAAAGTGCAAAATAGAAATGATCAGAAGGCCGATTTGGTAAAGCAAAATTGTCTGCAGGGGCATCACTACTCTGTGAACATCATCATTACAAAAGTTTGAGTCTGATGTCAAATAACAAGCGTCCTTTGTTTTTGTTCTCTATTAATTGATGTATAATAGTGTCCTCTGTCAATTCCTTTGGAACGTACATGTAACCATAGAAATAATAGTACATTCTCCTTCTTGGCATTTCTATGACGTACTCATATCATTGTAACCTGTG